CGCCTCCCCTCCACGGCCACCGCCTTCCAGCTCCGTCCAGCGGACCGGGCTGAGGCCATCGCCCCTGGAGCGAACCCTGTCAAGCCGCCAACACCGGAAGTCCCTGTCTGTCACACACGCCGTCGGCCACGCCTTTCCGGTGCCGGCATTGGCAAGGCTAACTGCCGTGCTGCCTTCTGGGTAATGAAGTTCAGCCTGCACTGCCCGGAGAAGGATGACCTTCCGCTGACCATGACCAGTACTCGGCGGGCCGGTCGGCTGTTGAAGGTATCCCGAACCGTGACAGAGGAAAAGGAGCCTTGATACTCTTACAGGGGACACACGCGTGTGATCTAGAGAATTTGTTTCCAATGCTCCTCCGGTCATAAATGAGCAAACTTTATTGTAATTTTAAAATTTTTACATTACTCTATACCTCAACATCGTCCCGAAAGGTTACTAGCACCTTCCCAAGCAGCAGATTGCATCAGTGATAGATTGGTCCCTGCCACAAGGCCCCCTCCTACCCTCCCGTGACTGACTTGGAGACACTGCAAAGCACCAGGAGCCTCTCGCCTTTTCACTCAGGTTGCATTCTGACCTGTATATAGACAGCTTCCCTCAGTCCACTCCCTCTTGGGTCCTCACCTGATTCTCCTCACCTACTCTCCCTGTTCTCCTGGGACGTGGGAGTTAAGGAAATCCTTAGCTTTCAGGTGTGTCTCTGAGTGTGATCTCTGACCCTGTGGCAGTGATCCTTAAAAACCCAGCAAGGACATCCTCAGGTCACAAAATACTGTAACAGTCACTTGGATAATACAGTGATTCATACCTGTGAACTATAATATTTTCAATGCTTTCAAATACCAGCCTGACTTCTACAAATGGCTTTGTGTATTTCACTTTGTTGGTCAGGGTCAAGAGAGAAAGACCTCATACAGGCCCATGACATGTAGGCCGAGGAAGAAATGTAAAGTGTCCTTGAAAAAGAAGAAAGAGAGTAAAAACATCGTCATTTCTGGATAAATGTATGATACTCCTCAAGATATATGTGAAATATAAAGAGTGGATTTAATTTATATAAAATGAAACAACATAATTTAAGCTTTTGTCATTCTCCAAATGTATGAATATAGATACATATAGATATTCTGCCTTTTCTCTTTTTTTTTTTTTTTTTGGTACCAGGGATCAAACTCGGGTCCTTGTGCTCACGAGGCAGGCAGCGGAACCACTAAGCTAGACCCCCGGCCCCCTTTCTCATTTTTTAACAGAATATATTTCCCAAAAGGGCTTTTGCAATTTTCTCATCAATGTTACATAAACAGCTTTTATGTTTTTCACTGTGATGAACACTGTTGTTAGCTTTCCATCAGTGGGTCATGCTCTACTCATCTTGGTCAGTTCAGGCTGCTATAACAAAATGCCATATATTAGATGCCTTAAACAATAAACACTTACTTATCATGTTCTAGAAAATGAGAAGTCTAAAACTGAAGCACCAACCTATGGTAGTCATCTTTCTGCTACTATAACAAAATACTTGAGATACTCTCCTTATGGAGAAGAAATGTTTATTTTGCTCATAGTTATGAAGACTGCAGTCCATGATCAATTGGCCCCATTGCATGTAGGCCTCTGGTGAGGCAACACTCCGTGACAGAGAAACTGTGGTAAAACAAAGCTGCAACAGCAAAACTATAGGTGTGTGACCCACACATGCATTCATGTTGCATCAATCACACATGCCTCTCTTGCTAATCTCTATGCAGCCTTATCTCAAGATGCATTAAAAACACAGGATGAGTAAACAGGAGTGTTGTCAGGGTGAGGGTGCCAGGGTTGGACACAAGAGTGACTGCTCTGCAGTTCAAGGCCTGGAAAGGTGACAAAAGGATCAGGAGATGAAGGGTACAGGGCCAGATGCAGCACAAAAAAAGAGAGGCAGCATCTCCAGCTTGCTCCTCCTCAAGGATTTCAATTAGTCCTTGGATGTTTTTTGAGAAGAGGAAGGGTCAATCTCAGGAATTCCCAAATGCAAATGCAAGAGAAGAGCAGGAGGGGTGGGCCACTAAGTCGTACAAAACTTGCCTAGCACATATAAGGCCTTGTTTTCAATGCCCAACACCACACATGGAACAAAAAGAGGAGCCAGTGTTCAAAAGCTATGTGCACATATGTGTAAATGATGTAAAATGTCGACTGAAAGCCAGTCCTGAAGAACACTGTTGCAGAAAACAGGTAAAATGCAGAGGCCCCAGAAGTGGCAGATAAAGTGGGATTCACAGCAGAATGGCAAATTGACAAAGCACTGGGATGAAGAATAAGATGTTGAATTATGGCCACTGGTGGTGGTCATGACACCAAAATTCTAGTGATAACAGGATAAACTGCTGTAAATTTTATCACAACCACAGACACCATATACTCTCAAAACAATGTAAATATTCTGTTCACATATACACCTCTGGGTGCATCCTCTACCTCAACTCAAGTGTCTTTCCTTGGCATTCCTCCATCCTCAGTGCCCTTGGGAACGGGGAGAAATTATTTTTTGGAAAGAAGTGCTTCAAACTGATTAAGAATCCTGGATGTACGTTGATTCATCACACCTCAGGATTGTCTTCTCACATTCCATGGGGATTTTGTTGCTTGCAAAAGTACTCTTTCCTCACCTGATTCT